GCGTGGGGCTGTGAGGTGGGCAGAAGATGGCATGGCTCAGCGTTACCTCCTCGTAATGCGTGCCTCGTTGAAGTGTCATGCCTAAAGCAATGTCAACTTCAGCGTTAATGCCTCTGTAAAAGAAGCGACGCAGAACATGGCAGTTGAAGAAGACATTTTCACGGTGCCTTTTTGACGGGTGTGGCAGGAGCAATCATACAGTTGCACTTTATTCAAGTGACTACAGTAATCGGATTAATATCACTAATCGGGTTTCCGTTTCACTTCTTGATTCAAATAAGATCCCCTTATTTCAATAAAGGTTGCTTAAAATATGGTAAAAACCAATACCAAATGCGTGCTTTCCTCCCATCACAGAGTCTCAAGACTCAATGAAGGTTGAGGCTCAAGTGAGGCTGTCCTGGTTATTATTTTAAGACGGTAGTCATACTACTCTAGAATAAAAAAAAATCAAATCTTCGCTCTCCGATGCGTTTCCGGGGTGTACTTTGTGCTGTTTCGGCACGATGTCCGATGTTTCGCACCGCGCCCCACGTGCTGGAGAGCGTCTCCCGGAAGACCTCGATGCTGTACAGCGCAACACAAACACATCGGTAAGCGGTACAACAACAGCAAACAATAGCGGCACGCAGCAAAGTAAATCACTCAGCGGATAGAATGAACATACGATTGCTGCACATTACCCCCCTCAATAATAACGACTCCATGACAAAACAAACCGCGGGTGACAGGCATGACGCATGTAAGCTTCTGTCTGCTGTCTAAACGGCGGATTCCACTGCAACCCTGAACGGAACCTGCACAAACATTGGCAAACGGGTAAAAGCCACGTCCAACATTAATCACACGGCGCGTGACACCGTGTCCCCGCGGGGAACCCGGACCCACAGGTGGACAACGCAGAGCAAAGGGTGGCGTGCCCGTTTGCAGACGCCCCTTCTTCAACGGTCGTAAAACACCAAGCCACGCTGGCTTGACGCATCGTGGCGTTCGTCCACAGAGATGACGCAGCAGGTTATTAACGCAGCTGGGGGGGGGGGGGGGGGGGGGGGGGTGGGGGGGGGCGCGCAAAGGCACCTCGCACACATCCGTGGCAAAATCCATCTCGGCGAGTCGACTAACCCAACCCACCGTCCCGCTGCTCACAGACGCTGGGAAAGAAAACAACAATTCGGGTGTCCCAGAAGATGAACCATACCTGTCAACCCCTTATCATGGCCCTACCTTATACCAAACCAATTCAGACCGTATTGGTCACCCCCGTGCCCCTTATATATGTCAACGTTCATTCTACAAAACCCCATCACAAGGGAGAAACACAAATAAAAGGCATTTTTTTTGCCCGTATTGAAACGGCTGTACGCCGTATGGACCTGAAAACTCAATTTACCTGTAAAAGAATACGGTTAAACCGTATGGGTTGACAGGTATGATGAACGAACGAGGGAATAGCAGCAAAGAGCTACGCGCTGCCCGGTGTCCAATGTCCGCTATAAAATAGTACAACAAAAATGATACTGGCGGATAAACTCTGTTCTTAACTTTTAAAATGATTGAAGACTCATCACCAATGCCATCTGACACGGATGTTATGTTTTACCAAATATTTTCGAGAAATATAACTTTCTCTGACGTATGGATCAGAAGCGTGACCGCTAGCAGAGAAAACCAAACATTTGGAACTGCACGAAGGGACTAAAAGAGGAGCGCACGGATCAGGGGGAAAAAAATGCAAATTGGAGACATCATTTCACCGTCGTGAAAATTAATTGGGCTTGGGCAGGCCACAAAGCAATTGTTGGGCCATTGGGCAAGACTTGCGAGGAAATGACGTGACTGAGAAGATGAGCCCCACGGAGATGGAGCAACAAGATCAGTGCAGGTGCTGGAGGCCGTGGTACCTCCAGACCACGAGTGATCGTGGCATCATTTATTTATCCACCAGTGGATAAATGTCTAAGGGGCCGTCCATAAATAACGTCACGCGATTTTGGAGGATTTTTGACCCCGCCCCCCTTCATCACACGGCCGTCCCGAAAAGTCAGAACCCCCTCTCAAATATGACGTCACAAAGCTCTGCCCCCCCCCCCCTAAAAAAAAACATGTTTCAAATCGCTTTAAACTATTGTCATTGTAGTGTGTATTTAATGTGGCGCTGCACTCTGCTATTGTAGGAGAAAACATTTATTAAAACGTCTACTTAATTAAGTAGAACGTGTAGTCTATTTTTATTTAAAGTTGCGCATTTTGATGTTTTGATGTGACGTCACATTTCTCAACCCCCCCCCCCCCCTCGTCACACATCGTCACAAATGTCTGACCCCCCCCCCCCTAGGTGCGTGACGTCATTTATGGACGGCCCCTAATACCTTTGATAGTTTCTTCCTAATGATATAAAGAAACATTGCCAAAATTAGGAGCTAGTTGTTCCACTCATTCAGATGTCAGAATGGCATGGCGAGTAATAATAACAACAGTATTCCCCATATTTGTTGAGGTAAGCCTCACCGAGTCTCAAGCCATTGGGATATTTGGCCATTCCCTATCATGCGATTGGCATTGCGTGCGTAAATCGGAATAAAAATCTGGGGAAAAAAACACACGGAAGGAGAAGGCAACACTAAATGTGTGCAAACAGAAGGTCAATAACTCATTGCTACTTTTAAAATAAAAAAAGTGCCTAACCAGTTCTTAAACAAAAACTGTAAGAAAAACACATAAACCCACATGAAACAATTTCAAAGCACCACTTGAGGTATTAATTTACATTGCAAAATGTCACTCTAAACACAAACGTGTGAAGACAATAATTATTTCGGGTGCTGTCACTTTTCAACAATCACCGAGGTCAGCCCCCCCCCCCCCACCCCCCACCCCCATATGCCTTTAAACCTACGGCCGCCTTCGAGGGGGCGAGGCTGTTGCAAATGACATGGATGTTTCAGCCTCCGGTGAGCACAGCAGTCGGGCTCTGTTTGGCGTCTGTCAGGACGAGTGGGAGGGCTGTGTGCTTGCCGCGTGGTTGGTGGTGGTGGTGGTGTATGGTGGGTGGTGGGTGGGTGGGTCGGTGGTTGAGCCAAGCTGGTAGTGGGTGGTGGCGGTGGTGCGGTAGGGTGGGGGGGGTGAGGCTGCTTTATACGAAGACAGCAGGCGGCCGGGTTGAAATGGCGCCATGGCGAATTGGCGGTGTTGTTTGGGGTCCTTGTTGCGGGGCCTACGTTGCGAGGAGGTGCGCGCTGACCGATCGTATCTGTGCTGCGGCGGCCAGGCGGAGGGCGCCCGATGGAGGGGTGGGTGCTGCATGGGTGTGCGGGGGGGGGCAGGGGGCAGGGAGGGGGTGTAACAAGCCCACACGCCTCTTACGCCCTTTTGTCAGAAAACTGACAGAAGTAAATTAGCCAAACGCGCGACGCGTCCCATGTATGGGGCGCGCGTCGCGTGCACTCCTCGGGACCGTGCGAGACATCTTCGAAGCCACCCAACAAGCAGGATGCCCCCGGCGCAGCGCTTTGCACGCTCGTGCCATGCAGCTCTCTCTGTCCGGTGCGTTTTCGGGCTGCGGCGCGTGTTGTTTTTCGCGCGATGTCCGACGTTTCGCTCCGAATGCTGTGAAGCTTTTTCGGGAAGTGAAGTGAGGAGCCACACATTTTTCCCCCTCGATCGTATAGCACAATTCACTTTCTGACGAAGCTCCCAGCAGACGGAGTGAAATTTCAGGACATTATGGTGAACAAGTGGCATGTCCTGAAAATGCATGACCTCACAGTCGCATGCCTAACGTTCAAATCCAAAGATGACAGGCTGAACAAAGGTATCTTCTGGAGAAGCCAAAGGTTGGCATGCTTGCTGACAGTGCCAGATTATCCTAGTAGCAAAAGTAGCTACACATGCTACATTCCACACACTTTCAAGGGCCCCGCGCTAAATGCTTTCAAGCTATCAATGCCGGTTCAGTAATTCTGCACTTGCTCTATTACTACAGTACTATACTGCCTTCAACTTTTGTGAACGACTGAGTGTTTAAGGTTAGCGATTTGTCGTATTATCTGGCTGTATAGCAAATGAAAAAATACAATTACTTTACTGTGCAAGTAAAAAAAATGTGTTTAACATTTACGTGTTTTTCTTTTTTACGTATGGCCCCTTTATAACGTCGTGCTACAGGCCCCGCACTAGCTTAATCCGGCACTGCTTGCTGCTTTCCGAATTAGTTCGCACAAATGATCTCAAGGAGCATAAACAATCACGCAAACTTTTGGCTAGCCATCGAACATATTCCGGTCGCTGCGTCGCGCGCGTTCAGATGCGCTTCGGCGGCCGTCCGGAACGCTCTTCCTTCCGATATTAGGAAGCCACTGGAGCTACGTGCTTTTAAATCATCTAGATTGAAAACGTTTTTCTTTCGAACTGCTTTACGTTTCTTCTTCTTCTTCTTTGGGTTCTTTCGGTAAAGTCACGTAGAGTGAGAATAAAATAATAAAATAAAACAATTAAATTCTCACGACGTTTCGGCCACAACACAAGTGGCCTTTTTCAGGTGAAGGAACAAAAAACTGTCGGGACGACAGGGCTTTAATTTTATGTCTGGTTTGTTGTCCTTCCCCCGCATTTCTGATTAGCACGGACGGCTACGTGCAGTGCGAAAGAAGTTCAACACACACAGAGGATCATGGTTTGAGCCCTAGAAATGACCGGCCATGTTACCAGGGTGCGGCATCTGATTAAAATGTTACGTTAAAAACCCTGGGATGTCATTGTGCGGGGTAGTTGCCAACATCCAAAATATAAACATGTCTTCAGTCTTGCTTGTACGGCAACCAGGGTCTCCCGAGTTTGACATATCACCTCTAAGTGATCCCCTTGCCTGGTTAAATAAAGGAAATTGAATCGTAAACATTGTAATGGAGAGGCACAAAGCACTGTAAACAACACACTGAGCATACACATCGACAGTTACATCGTAGGCAATGCTTAACTGTATCCAAGAGACGAATTAGACATTTGCTTTCTCCGCTTAATTTATTGAATGACCTCATTCATAACAGCGAATGATTGAAAACAAAAAAAACCACTCAATCCCTTAAAGAACAATTTATATCGATACATATGGCAGCCTTGAGAGTGAAACAGAATTCATACACAGACCCAAGCACAGTAAACAAAATGCCAAATATGATCAAGGCACTCAAAATATAACATTCGCCACACCGCCCACCAGGACGGACGTACATTCGCCACATTTACAGTTATATATTCCCATTGCCCGTTTTTTTTTTCACGCAATTCCACAAGTGCACGTCATGCACTTGCGATCGAAACCACGATACATTTGTCTTTGGCGTAACAAAAAAAAAGGAAAAAATAAAGAGCGAGCACGAGGTCACGTTACGTTGCGTACCGCCAGCAAGCACGCTCCAGCAATTCATCTTCACGTCACAACGCGCCGCACCGTGTATCCCAGGTCCGTCCCCTGTCCGTTGGGCGCCTCGGCTGTTAAGAAAGCACGGAGCAACATTTTTTGGGGCCAAGCCCCAAAAAGAGGAGCCCGTTGAACGTATTTGCCCAATAAAATCCCCCCGTTTTGAAACCGTGCGCAGCAAATATTAGCACTGCCGTGCGAGCGCCGATATTGACCTCCGGAAATCCAGCGAAAGCTCCCTCTCGAGCCTCCACAAAGAAGCGGGCGACCCGTCGGATCCGGCGGTCGGCCGCAATTAAGGACAATCGGTCATCGGAAAGGCCGGGAGAGGAGCTCGAGAATCGGGGGGGGGGGGGGTGTGTGGGGGTGGGTGGGGGGCCCTCAACGACTCCAAGAAGTCCACCCCGAGCCACCACCCGCCCACACGAGCCGCCCTGCTGCTGCCCTGCCCCCACCTGCGCCATAGAAGCCACCGGGCACAAGGTCCACGGTACAGGCGGTGGGGCGGGGGGGGGGGGGTCACCTTTGGTGCGCACCTCCGGGAGGATTTGTTTTAAGAGACGCACCGGGGGGAGGTGGAGGGGGGGCTCCTGACGCCGGCGTTTGCAGCTCGCCCTCCCGCCCCCCCCCCCCGCCCCCCGCGGCTTCTGTATGCGGCTCCTCCGCAGCCGAGAATTTGGCAGCCGGCGCCTGAAGCCTCGCGACAACATGGCGGGGTTACAGCGCACGAAGAGAATCGAAGGTCGAGCTGTAACCGAACCCCCACGATTTCACGCCAACGTCACTGCTGGCGGAACGGCTTCCGCTCGAGGAGGCTCAAAGAGAGCCCCCCCCCCCCCACTCCTCCATCTCTGAAGCGCATTTTGGCCTACTCTTCCGCGCCGGCCAGACCTCTTGGAATTAATGCGGGCGGTTAGCCACACTTTACCCCGCCGTAACGCAATGCGGTGTAAGCATTAATTTATTTTGCTGCGCGGACAGAGACGGCAGGGATTAGAGAAACGCGAGCCATTGTTTCGCCAGGCCGTGCCAGCAACCTGGTCGAACCGGCGACCTCTGGATTTGCAAGTCCAAGTCTGCTGACCAACAGAAGATGAACAAGTAGTGCGTTTGTATTCACATGGTACATTAGGTCACTTCAAGAGCTTTGTAAACTGCATGCTCAAGTGCCCGTTTGCCTGTTTGGTTACTGGGCGATCGCTGTACGTCTTTGTGTACCGATTTGTTTACCGATTCATTACCTTGCTCAACCTTATCAGTAGATGTCAGCTCCAAACACAATAGTAACCCTTTTTGATTGGAAAAGGCAATAAACCGGTTTAGTTCATCCATTTCACACCGACATGTCTGATATACACACACTACCTCCTTGACGCGGGCTTTAGGTTCATATTCATTTTAATATTGGGTGAGTGAGAAGAATTAGAAATTGAGCTGTGTTCAGTAACATTCCCAGTATGTGTTTTCCCATTTCCATCCAACTTCTGATTTAAAAAAAAATATGAATACAGCCACAATCACCCAATTACGGTGGACGACCCCCTCCAGGTTTAACATTTTCCTGCATCAAACGTTCATTTTGGCTGATACCCTGAAATATATTGAGGCTACGCTTTAACAAAAAGTGAAATGGTGCCCCACATCATAATTTCACACCTTTTCCATCGCCTGGCACATAGGCCATTGGCTCAGGTGCAGTTTCACCGCCTCCCCAGTGGATTCCGTACCTACTTAAACTCACTGTGCGATGCCAATTATAATAATTATAAATAATTATAATTATTATAATCTCCCAGCTGTGGTCGAAGGATCCCAGATGTGAAATAAAATGTCCATGTGCCCCAAGTTGTCGCGAGTGGTTTAATCACGGCCTAACGTGATCAGTTCAGTCAAATGAGTTTTACCAAACCGGTTTAATTTCTTTCATGCGTCAAGAGTTAATGTTCCAATGACTCCCGACGACCATCAATCACCAAGGGTCATACACCATTGCGCACGTCTATCGAATACGCACCGTGTTAAGGATGCTGTACATAAAAGCATAACATCCCAAGCAAGATATGTAGTGCATTTAATTCACATTCTCAAATGTAAACCACTTCCAACTATTTCTGTCAATGATGAGGCACTCATTAGACAGGCAAATTAGTAAGTGCAGGCTGGAAAAACAACAAATAAGTTTCCTATCACAGTCGACCAATACTCCCCGAGCCTGTGGGGAAGCTTGGGATGATGTCTATTATTCCAGCCAACAACAATTCACGATCAACAAATGCTGCGATCAATGCCACCACATGTTCCTACGCTAGACCCACCAAGGCACAATTACAGACACACGGCCGAGCTGTAAGGCGGCGGCGAGTGGCCTTGACACTGCAGGCCGCTGACAACTCAATAGCCAGGTGAGGTTCATTATCAATTACAGGAGCACTCCTCTATTCCGTGATGTGGGGAGACAAATATTGCAGATCCTATTATCTGAGATGTTGCTAAACTTATCTATGGGAAAACTTCGGATAAGCTGTGGGTAATTTGATGACATTTTTCCATGCAGCTCTACTTATCTGTACTTCAACATGAGGAAGCCACCAGGAGCTATGCACTTTTAAGTGTCGATCGAAAACTCATTACTTTAGAACTGCTTTTTGTGTTTCGTTTGTTGTCCTTCCCTCACGCCTCCGATTAGCACGGTTGGCTACAAACGGTGCAACAGAAGTTCAACATACATACTTACATTAAATGAGCGCTTGATTGGAAGCTGTTCCATTATGAATTATATGAGAATAAATTTCGGATAATTGCCAAAAATTGGAAGAACGAAGCGGCTAATAATAGGAGTTTACCCCACAACACCCTCGGATAATAGGACTCGTGGGTAACAGGGAAACGGATAAGGGGAGTCCTCCGGTGTACGTCAATTACCGCATTTACCGTGGCCACCGGGCACGCCGTCGCAAGCCGGGCTCAGTGCGCGCCCTTGCCGGCGGCCAAGCGGTGGATCTCGGCGTTCTCCAGCAGCTGCACGCTCTTGGACGCCGGTGTGACGGCCACGTTGATCATGGCGCGCACCACGGTTTCCACTGGGGTGGTTATGAACGTGGGGAAGAGGGCGGCCACGGGAGACAGCACCTTGCGAGTCATCCACTCAGTGGGGCGCGACTCTTTGCGGTCACATAGCAGAACCCTGGGGGGGGGGGGGGATAGCCGGCACAGGGTGGTGTTGTGGGTTGTTGAAGTTTTTGCGCCACTCCCATGGCTCTTAACCCTTTTCCCATTCTGATGACGTGAATGTATGTCATCGGTATTTCTTCCGAATCAGTTCCGATGACGTACGTGTTTTTCTTCCGGTTCGGAAGTGTATGTCATTGGAACGAAATCAGAGGAAAACTAAAATGAACTAACTTTATCGGTACGTCTTCAGGTTGGAAGACGTACCGAGGCTCCCACAATGCCATGCGGGAAGGGCGTGTGGCAGTTTGGCACCAGCTATGATGGTGGTCATATCGCTACAGTACTCTGCAGTGAGTACAATGTATTTTTTTTGCTGTTATTTTGCTGGCTTGCCCAAGCTTGGGAATTTGGTGTAGTCATCCAAATTGAACTTACATACTTTATATATTTTACGGATTTATTTTTTTGTGATTTGCTTACCTTTCCTATACTTCTACCGTTTTTTTAATTGTTTGTTGCTGTAACTTTCTGACTCACCCCTACTGGACATCTGTGAAAAAGAGCTTCATAGCTCATCGCATTTCTCCAAAATAAATAAAGATTCTGATTGCTCTTCAGCATTACGAACAAATACTCATCACCTCCCCTGAAGCGTTTGCCATGCACTACTGCATCTCAACATGCCCCCAGTCATGCGTGGCAGAAGCTCGCGAAAATAAATTCCCAACACATGACCCCAACCTGGGAACACCACTCTCTAATTATGAGCATCTGGAAAAACCTTTGTGATAAATTATAAGTTGTCCTTCTTGCCTTCACTCATCTTCCCTGGTTGCATTATCAATGCCTGCAACTAACGAACTGTGTGAGATGTCAATCTAAGTTAACTCTGCTCATGAATCCCGTTCCCCGCGCATAACGTGAACCAAACGCAGCGCCATAGCAATGCGGTACCACACTTGCTGCGCGATGCATGGGCCACGCTCTGAATCTCAGACAGCGCCCTCTATTGGATCAGCCGGAAAACCCCGTCCTGTTCTACGCGGTTCTCCATAACCTCCCGTTGACCTGACCAAAATCATTATTTTACCACAATTTTCAAGAACCTTCTTTGAAAGATTAATTAGGTCTGTATGGCACGGAATTTGTGTAATTATACAAGACAAAGCAATGAATCATACCAGTAAGATGTAATCGACACTTATTGGGTCACAGCTGTCTTGCAAAGGATATACATAAAGGTGCAGCTCTGCAATTTCTTCCTCACACCACTGCTGGCAGAAGGGGCCTCCACTACAGGGAGCTCTTGAGAGCCCCTCTCGAGGGTATTTTGGTCTGCTCTTCCACACTGGTATTGGGGCGCCACGGTGGCGAGATGTTAACTTCCTCGCCTGGTATACAGGAGGTCGTGGGTACGATCCCAACCCTGACGCATGCTGTAATTAAGGAGTATGCATGTCCCTCTCTCTCCGTGTTCGCATGGATTTTTCTCCGGGTCCTCCGGGTTTTCCCTCCACTTTTGGAAACATGCATTTAGAGTCTGTGGCTGCTCTAAATGTCCACGTGATGAGCCACTTCGTTGAGCTGTCATTTGCCATAGCCAGGTCGCTTCTGAAAAAGAGCTACGCAACTCAGATGGCGTTAACCTGGTAAAATTTAAAAATAGTTTTAGTTCATTCATTTATAATGCAGGACGAATCCGATGAGCTATAAAGCTCTTTATCACTGTTGTCCAGTAGAGGCACGGGGTCAGGAGGTTAGGCCAACAAACACATACAATGCACAAACACGATAGGAGTGCAAAGTATTGGAAATGTAAACAAATCACTTCGTTCAGCTATCATTTGGGATAGCCAGTTCGCTTCTGGAAAAAGAGCTATAGAGCTTAGTGGACCTTACCTGGTTACATAATAAATTCAATCTTGATTTGAAGCTTTCGTGACTGCAGGAATCCATACTCAAGGCAGCAGACATCGCGGCTATCGCGATTTTCCCCTGAAGACGATGGCGCTTGTGTCGCTATCGAAACTGTCGTGATTTATTTCGTTTTATTTCTACCTACGTGACTTTACCGAAAGAACCAAAGAGTATGCGTAATAAATTATTTAAAAATATAGTTTCTCACTGGCAAGATGTCTTGGAAAAGGTGGGAGTACCCCAGACTTTATATCCCACTACATGTGACCTGCAGAGTGACTGTGCCATAGCCATTGATGCTGCAGCTGGGTGGACAGGGGTTGGGAGGATTTAAGAAACTTGCCCCATTGTCTCAATTACTATTCCCGAGAGATCGAAACCGGTGACCTCAAGATTGCAAGCCCAGTGTGCTATCCATAAAACCATGACAGCATCCCTCCCATAGCAACCTAAAAATACACTGGGAACTGAACAAGTGAATACAAAGTCGAAATGCATGAAACAGCAGTGTCAAGGCAAGCATTGTTTTGCGGAGGAAATGAGGAAGCTTGTGCGTCTATAATGGACCTTTCCGTTTTTATCGCAATGCCCTGTATGACACTTACGCGGGTCTATAGACGGTGTATCTCTCAAAGTCCAATTTGTGCACGTCCGCTTCGATCTCGCCCTGCGATAAAAAACATCAGAATCAGAATATGTACTCATACTGGAGGAATCCGATGAGCTATAAAGCTCTTATTCACAGATGTCCAGTCGGGGCAGGTAATAACGTTACAACAACAAACAATACAAACACACGATAGCAGTGCAAAGTACAGGAAAGGCAAACAACTCATCCAAACAAACAAAACCAAACCATCTCTATCCTGACAGGCAAAGCCCACTGTGGTGTTCACTTATTTTTCAGAAGCAACTTGGCCACCACTAATGATAGCTCAACAAAAGTGGCCCATGATTTGGACATTTATGGCAGCAAAAATCATCTAAATAAAGAATAAACAACACGAAACCTTTTCAAAGGCAAAATTAACCGCATCCAACACCCACCATCAAAATGTCGCAGAAAGTTATTTTGGTGTAGCACCAAAGACAACGTCCAACTTTTCCCGTTTGAAAAACTGAGTACAACGGTATTGGCACGTGCGGGAGCATGGAAGTGCATCACAATGCTGGATTTACTGGTAGGAACCTCCTGGTTACACCAGCCCACAGGGGATTATTGTGTCCGTCCGTCCGTCCGTCGTGCATCCAAAAATGGGAGGGGTGGGGCTGCGTGGGGAGGGGAGGGTGGGGAGGGGCTGGGTGGGGAGGGTGGGGCTGGGGCTGGTCACCCCGTGGTGCCCTTATACAACTCAACGTTTAACCTACTCACGCCGGCTCGTGCCGGCCCTCACAGTCGGACAAATTGTGCGGAATGCACCACGTGGTGGTGCCGCCGTTGACCCTGGCCACTGACCGAGCAACCCAGCGTTCCTACCAGCTCCCTCCGCAGGAATGTGTTTGCTGCAATGCCCTCTGCTGCCCACACCGCAGCTCCACACTCCGAACAACACGAACGATACCAGCACGGTCCTCCGACGTCGTTTCACCGGTTTGTGCCACGCGCTTGTTTCCGCACGGTGTCCGACGTTTCTCTCCGCGTGCCGGGATCTCCTTCAGGAACCGAACAGAGCCCGAAGAAGCTCCCCCGGCACGTGCGGCGAAACGTCGGACAACGTGCCGAACGCGCGACACAACGTGACAACAACATCGGAGAGGGAGCCACGCGGCGCGACGAGCGAAAAACGCGGCGAAAAGCAACGGCGGTGGACTGCGCCGGGCGTTATGGGCAAATCTTTTCTCACCTTGACCTTGGTGTAGAGGAAGCCGCTGTTCTTGTCTGCACCCTTGGAGGACTGCAGGTTGAAGTGCGTACAGCCGCCCGCCTTGGCCAGCTCAGCCGACTTGAGCACATAGTCGTGGTCCACGCGCACAAAGCCAGCCTGGACAAACACAATGCTCAACGGCTGATCTCGGGGTCCCTTGTCGAAGTACATCCGTACGTACGTGTACAGACCGTGTGTCAATCTACCTCTGGATGTATGTATGTATGGATGTTGAACTTCTTTTCGCACCGTACGTTGCCAACCGTGATAATCGCAGGTGCCTGTCAACGCCGTTCCTGCCGCGGGGGGATATTTTACCGATGTTCGCCACGCTGGTCAATGCAGGTTGATAAGGACAGGACTGTTAGATGTGGGAGCGAGCAAGTACAGCACAACAACGGATTTTGATGCATTGCCCTCTGCTGCACATGACGTAGCGCAACAGGCTAATACAACTTTTATGTATGCAGATCATCTAAACCAGAGTTATCCAGGCTCAAGCTAGCCTAGCTTTCGAGATCTGATGAGACGGCGTGTAATCCGGGCGACTTGGTGATTTTGTCAATATCGTCCTTTGAACTGGAACACAAATGGATCTCCGTATGAAAAATGAGTTATGGCTCTCCTATTGGGGTTATCATTGTCATTAAACACTCACATTACGCTGAACATTATTAAAAGCAAACATCGTACAGGAATAAATGAATAGCATGCTTCTCCGATTGTCTTTAAATGCCCTTTTGGACTCGCATTATTCACAGCATTCGGTTGAACAGGCAAACTCTGCACAGGCATTGACCCTGTTCAATGCCAATGTGCAATGAGGCTTGTTAAACACTTCTGTGTTTCCAGATGTTATTGGCAAGGGCACTCCCTATTTGCAGAAGCACCACCCTCTCTAATTCAGCACACAAAGCTACATTTCATAACATCTCACGTGCTGTTGTCAATAATCACTGTACTCGCCACAATGCTCCACGTCATCACTTAATGGGGGCTTTGTACAATTCTGTGATACCTAAGAAAAGGTGCAACCCTACAATTTCTCATTCACGCCACTGCTGGTGGAAGGTCCTCTACTAGAGGGAGCTTTGGAGAACCTCTCTACAGAGGGTATTTTGGCCTAATCTTCCACGTTCGTCAAGATGTTTTGTACGAGTTGGGAATAACCACACTTTACCCCACCTGCAGATCAACTAACTGTGGTGTATCCATTTACAATAACGGGTGGAAAAGAGACGAGGGCAACTGCCGTGCCAGGAGATCAAATAGAACCGTCGACCTCTGGATTGCAAGTCCAGTGCCATAACCATTACTCCACGGCAGCATCCTATACAACAGGGGTGGGGAACGTCTGGCCCGCGGGCCGTACAAGGCCCGCAAAATCATTTGGTCTGGTCCTGCCAAGGCAACCCCAGGCGGGACTCGAAATTAAATAAATCTAGGAGCAAACCTACAAAAGCAGTTGCGAGTAGCAACATCATCAATACCAGCTAACATCACACGCCTCACCAAAGAGAAGCAGTTCCAGCCATCGCATTAGAGGTGAGGTAATTAAATGTTTGACCAAATATAACAGGCTAATTTTTAAGTTGATAATTCTGTATGGCCCGCGAATGATGTTATAAATATCCAAATGGCCCTTGGTAGAAAAAAGGTTCCCCACCCCTGCTATACAATCTATGTACAATGGTAAAATCTTGCACGAAAGAATCTTCAAGTGGTTCAAACTAGCAAGACGACCGACCGGGTTTCTGGCCTCAGTAATAAAATGTTAATCTTAATTATCCATACAACCCACAGCTGATGTGAATAAACCTCAAATACATTTGTCAAACAAATCTGAACAATGCAAATATTTGTAGTACTTCGCCATCACCCTCCAAATATTTCAAAAAATATATATGAAGCTGAACAATTGTAAAACTTGGCACGTGACACAACTTAAATCCCAAAATACAATGTAAATTAACCGAGGGACGAAAGTTGGTCAAACTGCATTTGACTTGTGACAAACCTGTTTAAACTTGGCATGCCAATTTCCACACTCGCCATTCTGCATTGGAGTCTTTCCATGGGAAAATAATGAGGCCTGACAGTAATGCGGCACTGGTGGCCAAACACACTCGAGCGCGGTGATCGGGCAATTAAATCCAATTACCGCTGCACAAACAGATTAAAAGGTCAGACATTGTGACCGTGCTATTGGCAGTCATGGTTTTTTTCAAGAAATGTGAGAGTAATAATGATGATGATAGCCGACAGCCTTTTGTCAATGCCACGCTGGATGAGGGCCTCCCCACTGCTGCGTTGGTCAAGGTGGTTGTTTGACCATACTTCACCACGTCGGTCAGTGCTGGTTTGAAGGCCGAGGAGCCAGACATGGTTCAGACATCACTTGCCACCGATGTTAACTGTAGAAATTGGCTGCTGGTTTTAGAGCCCAGTGCGCTAACCACCATAGTTGCAAAATAATGTGAAATATGATGTAATCAAATACAACCATGTAAAACTGGTTGACAATGTTCTAGGTGGTGTTATATAAACGTGTGTTATGATGACGAGCTTCCTCTGTCATATTCAAAATATTTGCAACAGCTTTGAAGTGTTGCTGTTTACTGTGCAGATTAGGGATGGAATTGACCCCTCTCCGGAATTGACCCCTCTCCGGCCCAGCGATTTTATAAATCGACAATCACAAAAATCAGACTTTTTATTTATACTGGAGGAATCCGATGATCTACAAAGCTCTTTTTCACAGATGTCCATTCGGGAGGGCGATTTTAAAATGAACAAAACTAAATGTTTTACATTGTAGTTAATAATAGCGCCTCTAGTGGTTGCTATGGTGACATATCGAATTGGCAAACATCGATGAGTACACACATGAATCGCTGCATGTACTATAAGCTCAACAACAGAAAATTAATGGGTATACGCATACATACACATGCTTATGCTTTTAACCCATTGATATATTGGCTTTCCAGACCAATATCACACAGCAGCATTTGCTTAAATGAGAAAACTCTGGACCGGTTTCTGCTCTCTTGATCTCATCGGCAGAATCAGGTTTGTTAACCAACTGTTACCCGGGTGACTGGATGTTATTTGATCTCATCGGCAGAATCAGGTTTGTTAACCAACTGTTATGGATGTTATTAGCGAGAGCACTCCATCAAAACTACGGCGGCCCCTGTTCAACGCATCGCGCAAGCGAGTTTGCATAAATCGACGAACTGATGGATCGCTCGACATCTAGCCCGGGGTGCGAGCGTCTGGGAAGGAGGGGGGGGGGAGATAGAAGAGCACGCTTGGCAGATCTCACTCACAGCTCCGGCCTTGGCCCGCGTTGTCCCGAGGCAGCAAAAGCCGACGTCGTGACCTTTGAAGGCGTTAGCGTAGTCGTCCAGCTTCTCAAAGTCCACCACCTCCTGCACCTGCAGCCCCCCACCAGCAAGTGCAACAGCACATTCAATCGCAATTCCAGCTGGGACGATTCGTCGGTGAATCCGATTCATCGACTACAAATTGTAACAGACTACTTCATTTGTGGTCGATAACTCTCAGGCCCCTTTAAAAATGAAGGCCGTCCTGACATCCTGCCTTTCGAAGGCAGGAAACCACCCTATGAGCCATCCCGGAGTTTATTTTGATTATGTAATGAAGCCAACCCCATCTATTCCCATTTTGCAGGTGAGTCCCAAGTGGTACAGAGAACGTTGATAAAGTTACATTTCTTGACACATTTCGTGATAACTGCTTTTTGTGCTTAGTTCATTGTCCTTCCCCCGCACCCCCGATAATCACGGTTGGCTATGTACGGTGCGAAATAATTTTAACACACGTACATACACGTTAATGATCGCTCTCCACGTCACGTGCGAGCAAGTAGCGACTTTATTTCAACTTGGACGGAGACTGAGCAACGGTGGCACATTACACGCGGCCAGGGCATTTCAGCCAGGTATGTCCGGGTAACTCACCACGCAAAAAGAATGTACGTGCCCGGCACACCTCTCGCGACGGTGGCTGTCGCTGCCAGCCACGTGCCTGCCCCGGTCTACCAGTGACCCATAAAGCACTCATTGATAAATTAAAATCTGGTATGTACAGAAGAACTCCTCTTAACGACCACCCCTGTTAACGACTAATCGCTTAACGAAGGGCCTCTATAGAGCACATTGTGTCGTGTATACTGTAGTGTATACTGTAGTGTATAGTAGTGTGGTGCCTCCATAGAGCCGAATGTGTTCGCTTACTGACCATTCCCCTGTTAACAACGGGCTGTTGTAGGTACAGTAAATATTAATTAATGCATTAACCATGTTTATTTATAATATTATGTCTTTATAATGTTATTAGTATATTTATGCATTAATAAACATTGTTTAAATATTAAAAAATTACTTTTTTTGGGTGAAAAAATGGTAACTTCCGATGCTATCGGAGCGAATACTCGCTTAATGACCAAACTGCTTAACGGCCGGTTTCGTGGAACCAATCACCGTCGTTTAAGAGGGGGTTCTGCTGCACGCACGCTGAACTTCCTTCACACCGCACGGAGGCCAACCGCGCCAATCGCGGGGTGCGAACGGGGCGGGTCGTTTAACCGTGACCCACCACGTCCTTGTAGGAGTCGTCGGGGAACTCCAGCTGACGACGCCCGATGGTGGTGACGCGCGAGAAGAGCCGGCTGCTCACGATCTCGCGCAGGAGGACGCTGCCCGTCTCCCCGGAGGCGCCCAGCACGAAGCACGACCGATTCTGCTTGCGGAAGTTCTCCCGGTGGCTCTCCAGCTCCTGTTCCATCCTCCTGCGGATTTATCGCACGGATTCGTAGACTGACACATTGTGTACCATACACCGGTGGCATTGATTTACTGAAGGATTTTCGGCATACTCCTGATAAGTCTTCAGCTCCCACTCCCCATCATCCTCTGCATACACTGTAATGGGGCGTGTCACGGTGGCGAGATGTTAACTCCCTCGCCTGGTATGCATGAGGTCGTGGGTTCAATATTTGGGAGTTTGCATGTTCTCCCCGTGGTCGTGTGGATTTTTTGTCTGGGTCCTCTGTTTTTTTTCCCCACATTTAGTGACTGGCTGCTATAAATGTCCACACGATAAGCCACTTCGTTGAGCAATCATTTGTGGCCAGCTCGCTTTTGAAAAAAAAAAGAGCTACATAACTCAGTGGGCCTTACCTGGTAAAATAAAAAGTTCACTTGGGTTTAATGTCGCACTGCAATCAAACGAGAAGTAGTGTTGGGCTAGGCTGGTAAATGTGTGCTTTGGCCACACAATAACTAAGTTGCTAAGAACATAACATGACAAACGAGAGGGGGGCCGAAAGGGCCCAACCCGGCTCGTTCGGTTGTGAGTTGAAGATCGATTCTAGGCTCTCATCGAGGCGTTTCCCGAGCAGTCCCGGTGAAATCGGCGTCCACAGCCAAGTTCCACACACTCCTACTGCTCTGCGAATAAAACAGAAATGCCTCCTGGATGCAGTCTTGAACTTGCCCACGTCGAATTATTGGGCTCACGATATATAAAACATCGGATCACCAATGTTTTGCTGCATTCACGTGTGTTGTATAATGCCCATGTCAGAGAGCAGTTGTCGAATGTCACATCATGCCATGCGACTGAAAGATGGTCGGCACAACGACGCTTGGTTGAGCTGAAATCGAAAATCATATTCCCAAAATGCAATTTGTTGTTGTTGCTGCTGCTGAGAGAGTACATGCCCTAGCCTGGAAGAGTGCCCTGTTTGTGACTGATAGAAAGATGTTTATTCATGACAAACTCCGGGTTTCCTGGAATTTTACCGACGTGATTTTATTGATTAATGCGGTTTCCTGCAATGTCAAAAACAAAACAAAACCGGTTTAACAACGCTGCAGTTTAACCCATTACATGGGGACCCTGCGCTAGCAGCTGTGCACATGCACACGCAACAAACCTCGACAACGTTCGTCAAAACACATCATAGGCGACGTTTCGGGCAATGACCCTTTCTTCATAGCACACGACTCGCGTGCTATAAAGGGTTGCTCAACTCTGACCGAAGCAATTCCGCAGGGATTGTGTTTTTTTTCTTCTTCTTCGTTGTAATCAACGTATCCTCTTAAAATATAATCTCTTAGTAAAATCTCCCCGGGTTGATGTCAACAATGACCGCGGAGGATGATCGATATTCTTGGTTCTTTCGGTAAAGTCACGTAGATAGAAAACGAAAAAAATTAAAAATAAATTGAAAATAATAAAAGCAACAAAAACACGATAAAAATAGTAAATAAAAAAAATTACAATTAATAAAAAATAATAAAAGCAAAAAAAAACACGATAAAAATAGTAAATATTTTTTTACAATAAATTAAAAATAATAAAATCAACAAAAAACCCCCACGATGATAATCGATGCCAATTCCGGCCAGAGACACCCGGCCAAACCGGAATGGTTGGCGGCAACCCACGCTACGCACGAACGAAGCCCACACTTCACGACTTTGCACGAACGCATTTGGTTATTACCTCTCGCTCTCGGGGTAACTCGAGTCGACTCGAATCCACCAGGCCACGCACGCCACTGCGATTACGAGCAGCGCTCCGCGTCTCCCCTCCAAGGGCGGATAAACCATGCGGCTTCTATTACAACAACGAGAGCGAACGGTTAACGACGAAAGCAAACGAGAGAGAGAGGGCGCGAGAGAGAAAAGAGAACACTGCGAGCGACACAATAACGACGCCGCAGTAAAATGTTGAGCGAGGCGAGCACCGCGCAGCCGCTTCCGCGTTGGCAAAAACAAAAAAAAACACATTTGCGAAGCGCGTTTAATTTTCCACGTGCGATGTTTGGCACCGCGCGCTTTCCGTAGCGCGTGGTGATTCGTTTTACTTACCTGGCCCCCTCCACCTCCAGGGCCGGTCCACGTGGCACGGTCCGCGGTGGCAGCGGCAGGGATATCTCCCCCCCCCTCCTCCTCACCCCCTTGACTGCCGGTGGGCGTTAAGAGTTGGGGGGGGGGGGAAGCTTTGATTCGTGAATTGTGGCCACCGCACCGATGGAGCCGGTTGTGATCGCATTGTCTACGTCGCATGTGGGATTTTTGGCCTCCCGACGCACCACCGTTTGTTGCTGAAGTTGTCCACTCATCGGCACTTTTTGTGCGCGTGACAAACCTCGCTAAACTAAAGAAAAACAATTTACCTTTTTGTTGTTGTTTGAATACCAGGTAAGGCCCACTGAGCTATATAGCGCTTTTTTTCAGAAGCATCCTGGCCACAGATGATAGCTGAACGAAGTGGTTTATGTGGAAATGCATAACAAGCAACTAAATAATCGATACGCATGTTTATTAAATGTGGAAAGGGAAAACGGAGCACCCGGAGAAAAATCCACGCTTACTAATTCATGCCTGTCAACACCTTATCAGTGCCTACCTTAATACAGACCAATTTAAACCTTATTGGTCACCCCATGTCATAAATCTCGACGTCCATCCGTCAAAGTCCCACCACATGGGAGAAACACAAATAGACATGTTTTTTTGCCCGTATTGAAACGGCTGTACGCCGTATGGACCTGAAAACTCAATTTACCTGTACAAGAATACTGGTAAGGGGCCGTCCATATATAACGTCACGCACCTGGGGGGGGGGGGTTGCGAAATGTGACGTCACATCAAAATGCGCAACTTTAAATATAGACAACACGTTCTACTTAATTAGACTTTGTAATAAATGTTTTCTACAACATCGGAGTGCAGCGCCACATTAAATACGCACTACAATGACAATAGTTTAAAGCGAATTGAAGCATGTTTTATTTGGGGGGGGGGGCAGAGCTTTGTGACGTCATATTTGAGGGGGGGGGTCTGACTTTTTGTGACGCCGTGTGACGAGGGGGGAGGGGGGGGCAAAAATCGTCCAAAATCGCGTGACGTCATTTATGGACGGCCCCTAAACCGTATTGGTTGACAGGTATGACTAATTGGCTGTGTCGGGTGGAGGTGGGTTTTACGACACATTTACGCGAACTCAAAAAACTGTGCTGTATTATGAACCGGCACAAATTGTTACCGCGTAAGCAGCAACCACCGCTGTGCCGTGGAGAAAGGAAGAGCGCAATGCACACAACACATTTACCACGTGGTGGGTAACGGCGTTTCGCTGGGAGTCAAAACCAGCTTCAGGCAGTTGCTGGTTAGCCAATTTGCCCGGTACTGCTGAAGTAGTTAATGCGCTGTGCACGTGTGTTCATCACGTGACGACTATTGATGGGATGTGTTGGGTGGAGGAGGGTTTACGACACTTAACTGGCACAATCTGACCCCCCTCAAAAATGTATTGTGAATAATGGGTCGCGAAAGTCTGCGCGTGAAATGAACTAATGGAGGGTGCTTATCGCTGGGGGTGATTTGCGTTATAAAGGTGAGCCCCCTGTCTTGTACACTGCTGCAGTGTTATTGCTCATGACACAATTTGCACTAAGTGTCCCGTCTACATGTGTACGTATTGTGAACTTCTTTCGCACCGTACGTAGGCAACCGTGCTAGTCGGAGGTGCGGCGAACCACTATAGAAGCGATTCATTTGCATGCAACCGATCGCCTCGTTAAATATTTACCACCAAAAACACTCAACGCGCACCTCAACAACACCGCCCACAAAAGGAAAACACGTGAAATAGACGACGTATCGGGGAATGGCTCTCCCTTATACGCACGTAATCCCACGTGCTGTGAAGAAGGAGCGCTATTTACGAACGCGTTGAGTTGTTTGTGTCTGTGTGTGTGCGTTTGCACCACAACCATCTTGATGTAGATGCAAATCAACAACTACAATTCCACATTCAGGTCGTCAAGCCAGGTAACCGCGTCAGGAGTAGCGAAGTCTATCGCTGCGCTGTCGCCTTGTTAGATGTGGACCGCTCATTTCGTCGTTACACGTTGTACGGTCTGTTCTGGATGACCACAGTCGCATGGTTTGTGCCATGGTTTGTGCAGTGGATGGATGCGGTTTAGGGTGGACCGCGAGCTTTCGTGGAAGATCAAATCCAGGGATCTGCGTTGGGTCTTCCACAATTGCTGTAATAATAATTTACCGACGCAGTATCACCAAGTAATTTGTTTAACTGGAATTTCGGCGGCCTCAAATATTTGTTTTTGTTGGGGGATCGACAATTTTTGGAAATCTGTTGGATCAACTTTTTACCCCCACATCAGGGTGGGGGGGTCCACTTTATATAACTTTTTGATCCAGGCTTTCTGAAAATTGACGAACAAACGGAACACCGGGCTTTTACAATCGATGCATAAAGTACATACCTGCCAGGTCCATACGGCGTACAGCCGTTTCAATACGGGCAAAAAAACGTTGTCTATGTTTTGTATTTTTCCCTTGTGATGGGACTTTGTAGGATGAACGCTGAAATGTATAAGGGCACGGGGTGACCAATAAGGTCTGAATTGGTCTGTTATAAGGTAGGCAGCACTGATAAGGGGTTGACAGGTATGTAATGGTGAGTGTACTTGTGGTGAGTGTTCTAGTGGTGAGTGTAGTCGTGGCAGTTGTCTACTTGTTTGTGTTTCTCCCTTGTGATGGCACTTTGTAGGATGAACGTGGAGATGTATAAGGGCACGGCGTGACCAACACGGTCTGAATTGGTCTGCAATAAGGTAGGCAGCACTGATAAGGGGTTGACAGGTATGGCCGTACCGCGATCATGTTCACCTTCTGAAGCGCTCGCTGGTCACCGTGGCTTGCGCGATGAACACCACCACCACGTGACTTTTCTTTCGTGTTGTGCGCGGTGCATTTAGCGCCACAGCGCGTGCTGTTGCTGCTGGCGGCAATAAAAGTGGTTTAAAAGTCAAAGTCTCCAACCATCCCTCACGCTTCTGCGCACGCCAGCGCGCGCCGAGCAGTTCGGTTCACAAATCTCCCTCCCTTACTCCATTCCTGGCAAATATAAATTTTTGTGGGTCTTTTGTTTATTTGCATCGGACATTGTCGTCGTGGGTAAAAGTCACCCGAAACATATGCCTTTCAATGATAAAAAAACACCGATGAAGCTGCAGATACAATGAGTGTCCTATAGACCTTCGTGAGAATGGAAATTATTGGATAAAAAGTACTGTACAGTAGACAGAACCCATTCCTTAAATTAGATTATTCTCCGTATTGTGAGATGGCCTTGAGATTAAGACGTACTCAAAATGTGTGCCCAGTATCAATTGAGATAAACATATCTGGTCCCACACATTCACATAAACCGCATTATAAGACGCACCTCCAATGCTGAATTAAAATACAAGGGGTTAAACGTGCGTCTTAAAATACGGTGAAATATATTTTGATGTCTTACTGCAGTCACATCATCACCCCTCCTATTTTTGCTGGTTACTCATTCAACGTAGCCGTTGATAGACTTGACAGCACATTTTTCATATGCGTGTGTGTTGTCTTATTTAATTGTTTTCATTTTGTAAACAGTGTACGCTAGTGCTGGATATATACGTGTGCCTTGCACAGCATCTTGATATGTTCTCGTATTCAAAAACTTGAAAAACTTTAGGTTACATATAATAATTACGTGGAATGTTATAGCCGGCGTTATAGAGTTGCAGGATGGAGCGGTGGTAACGCGGTTAGCACACTGCGTTGTGAATCCGGTGACCTGAGTTAGCCACGGCTCACATCATTGGTGGGTGATATCAGAACAATGCCCATGACTGACAACACGTGGCGATGCCTTCACCCATCAGTGGATTGGCAAAGAGCTGTAAAATAGTATGACTGTGTTATGATACACCTATTCATTTGTTTACATGTTCTCTAGAGTATGGGTTCTCAGCTCGAAGAGTCTGATGTCACTTTTAGGGTCACAGCCTTCAATGGATGTACATTTGTAATGTTTCAGCTCTACAATTTCTTGCTCATACCACTGCAAGCTAAAGGGCCTCCGTTCTAGGGAGTTCTCGGGAGTTTTTTTTTACATATGTGGAATTTAGGCCTACTCTTCTAAGCTCCTGGCCAGGCGTTTTTGAAGACGTTTGGGGCAGTACCCACACGTTGCCTCGCAGCACGCGACCTGAAGAACGTCGAGATATGGCGTACTCATTTTGTATTGCCGGGGAGAGAGAGGGGGTGAATTAGAACATTCCCCCCACTATCACAACTGCCGAGCTGGGAGATCGAAGCGGCGACCTCTGCATTGCAAGTCCGATGTGCTGACCATGAAACCCTGAAGTTTCTACATGCACGTGCAGAATAAACCGCGTACTCGGATGACTTCAAACTGCGGAGCATATAAAGTACACACACGCGCGCGCACACATTGCAACACAGTAAACAGCAATAGAGGAGCCATTACAAGCGCCATCCACGGCGCTTTTTTTTGATAGATCATTGCGCATTAAGCTTGCCACGCATTATATTATTATTGTTGCGAGGCACTGTTTAAAATACAGCTCATCGCGGTCATTATGTCGATGACAGTTGCGGGTCCTGTGTGTTATGAAATAAAGGTCTCAGTGCGATCATTAGGAACGCGTGAAGGAATCGACTTGTTGTGTGCGCGTGGGGTCTTAACTGATTATTTCTATACAGATTATAAAGATCCATATAGAGTCATAGACCCTCTATAACTCGCCACTCCTCCTGTTCCCCACCCACCCACCCACCACCCACCCCTCCCCTTGCCTCGACCTCTCCTTTTCATTAAACATTCAAAACTCAATGTGGCCAATGAGGCTTTTATTTGTGCCAAGCGAGGCAATGCGAGATTAGGAACACTTTTGGGGGCAGTTGCCCTCAAATC